TTGCTGGAATATTGCTTAAAGCGGCGTAAAAACCAAACTCAGTCAGTCAGTCAGTCAGTCCTTGCAATATCCAGTTGGCTACGAAGGACCGTCATTATTGCCCATCGTTTAAAACTAGCACCTGAAATATGCCTCCTCTTTGGGTCTGTAAGTCTAACCGCCCGGTTGACGAGGGCGCCATGTTTGATTTAGGTATATATTTAATGACCCAGGGGATGCCAAGTGTTTTAGAGAGGGCACAACGTGTCCTATTTATCAACCAACATCAAAGAAGTAGGTGTACCGGTGTGACTGGATATGCGAAACACTGTGACAGATTGGTGGTGGCACAATGGGTCATAACCTATTGTTAGTATGACTGGGAAACGTCAGTGCCAGAGACTATAAGGTGTTGATTCAGCCGAAACGTACTATAGGGCCTGAAAGGCCAAGTAACATTGACAATTATGTGAATGGATCACTGAAGATTAGTACGTCCAAGCTGGATACTGTTCATGCAGATGTGTAGATGCGTCATCTTCATCGCAAAAAAACAATGCCAATCCTTTACTTTCGTAAACTATATCTGATTTGTTGTACAGAAAACACATTTGGATTTGCTGTCGACTGGGGATTTTAAATTATAGTAAATGTGAAACGTCAACACCAGAGAAAACCAGTCCTAGCTATCTGCCAAGATGGATTCCATTGGGCCTAAAGAGAAAAACAATGTGTAAATGACCCGCTCTACAGTTAGCAGCCGCCATTCACAGGAATACAGATCCCACTGTACTGTCACAGATCTACTATCGTAATTTATAGCATGAGACCTAAACGAAGAACAAACAAACAAGATGTAAAATTTGCTAATAAAAACATCAGACGTCATATTAAAGTAGTACCTCATGCTTGACGACTGAGTTAGTTCAATGGTACCATGGTGCCTCTTTGGTGTGCATTTGTCCTTAAGATAGTGCCTGGTTGGCCAGAATAGATTACTTAGTGATACGACTGAGTGAGGTAGTGAGTGAGTGAGTGAACACCAAAATATGTTTTATACATTGTACCCATTTCGTGAATCGAACCCGGGTCTTCAGCATTACGGGCGCAAGCTCTATGCACTAGGCCATACCCACCGCCCCTCGTCTATTTTATAACCTGGTTAATCGTCATTCATTCCTTACCTGTTATAGTTAATGCATCAAGAAGAATATCGCTACATCTCTACCCGTGGTTATTATGTGCCCCTATCATAATTAATATTCGTATACGTAATGATGCATAAACGGATGATGTTTCATCGAAGCCTAATATCCTGGATCTTAATCAATGTTCTCATGAATGGTTTGTCTGGCCCAAACTGTATGACCTACAGCTTATCGTGACAAACTAGTGCACAGGTCCAAACACAACAATCACTCACCTCCGAATAGTACAAGTATGTGTCTGTATGTACCCCGCGTATGTGTCAACGGTCCCTCTGTCTGAAGACATGAGAGTCTGCTCAGACAGGGGACAGCGTTAACACACAATCAATCAAATGGTAAGGTTTGTGTGCAGGAAGTACCTTTTGGCTTGATGTTTATAAAGACAGAATACGGCAAGCGTCTTGTGACCTACTCTCGTTCAGGACCGTTAAAGACAGGAATGTTTTATCATTTGTTTTGTGTGTGTCATCATGGGATTTAACGTCTCACGACAGAGGAAATATATTTGCAGAGTCGTGCGGTTTCATTGTCCGCTTTGTAAAAATAGACGTAAGAATAATGTGGGCATTTCAGTGGCATAGTTTCACACCGGCATGATGGGGAAAAGACACACTTAGCTTCATGAAGTCAGCAATACTAACATAGCAAGATTTAACAAATGCTAATTGTAATATGCTCACGTTGGCAACTTAGTAGTCCCACAGTGACAAGGCAGAAAGCAAACGCAGAGTCTGATAAAAAAAACAACAACTATAAATGAATTTGTGTAATTTTTCAAAGATGGCGAGAAGGTTGATCAATGTATGACAAAGGAAGGAGCGTTATGATTTTCAAAAAAATATTACGTGTTAAATAAAATTGTAAAAAATATCAATAATCATAATTAATATTTCCTATAAGCAGAATATATTCTACGATCTTGACAAAAACATTGTAAGTGTCAGTTACTGAATCATTGTCTGATAGTCATCACACTAGGTGTTTGGGTAAAGTTGAACGTGTTCTGTCCTACCTGTGGCGCTCGTTACAAGTACAAATACAGAGTTAGTGAGTATGGTTTAACGCCGCCCTGAGCAGTATATCCCAGTAATGTCAAGCTGTATTAGCTTCATGTGGGCGGGACCCGTGAAGATCCGGGGTAGAATAGGTCTTCAGCAACCCATTCTTGTCATTAAAGGCGACTATGCTTGTCGTAAAAGGCGACTAACGGGATCGGGTGGTCAGGCTCGCTGACTTGGTTGACACATGTCATCGGTTCCCAATTGCGCAGATCGATGCTCATGCTGTTGATCACTGGATTGTCTGGTCCAGACTCGATTATTTACAGACCGCCGCAATATAGCTGGAATATTGCTGAGTGCGGCGTAAAACTGAACTCACTCACTCACTCATTTGGGCGGAATCATGTGGAAGGATCCATGCGATGCAGGCCGCTAACGTTTACCACTCAAGAGCAGGGCCCTCACAAGCCCGGAAACATAGTCGGGCCAACCATCATAGGTGTCTGGCGCTGCAAAGGGAGGCAATTCTGCATGCTAAGTTGTGGCGCGTTTAACAACGGGGCCTACCATACTACTACCAAAAGAGCCGAGGCAATAATGATAGACTGAGTTCCAATATACATCAGCTGTTGATGTCCATATCCGCTCCACTGTAGATCAAACATCCACAAATCCTTTATAGTACCTCTCTGTGCCTGCTTATACTGCAGGGGCGGTTGGGTAGCCTAGTGGTTAAAGCGTTGGCTCGTCACGCCGAAAACCCGGGTTCGAATCCCCAAATGGGTACAATGTGTGAAGCCCATTTTTGGTGTCCCCCGCCGTGACGTTGCTGGAATATTGCTAGTAGTCAGTGCTTATACTGCAGAGTCATGTAATTTAAAAACTGTATTCTATACTAAAAATGCGGGTTGGTTATAATCTTCGGCTTACCCTGCGACTAGAGAAATGGTGTACATCCTTATTGGATATCGCTCAAGTCGTAGAGGTACCGTTAGCCCAAATTGGTCCAAGTATAGTAGCCAACTTGTGGCGGTCAATAACGTTTTAATGCTAGTTTTAACTCAAACTGTGTTCAACTAGTCATTATACCACCCTTCGTTTTGCAGTGGTAAATATGCTAGCGTTTAATGTATAATTATTTTAGTCAGGAAATTGTTGAAATCATGTCGACGTGACACTGTCACTTAGGGCATAACTGTACTGTGTTTGACAAATTGGGGACGTATACCGGTGGTTATATAGCCGCAAATTTAGTTATATCGGCTTGCGCGTTCTGTTCTCAAATGACGTCACAGCAGGTGACGTCACGCTCCATAATAACGTCATGAATCTTGTTTCATGATCTAACAGTGTTGGGTCAACAGCCCGTTGCGAGTAAGTTGTTTGAACTTAAAATTAAATTTATGATACTGTTTTGTCTTTTTTTAACACAAATTCCGACCATTTTAGCTGGATAGGGGAGTTAATTGACCTATGGCTTCTGCAAATGACAATGCCCTGCAAGCAGCGTTACCCCAATACATTCAAAGGTTTTGGTGAATAGGTTTTCAAATTGCGACCGTATATGATGATTATACGGTTGGAATGTATGTTACATACTAAGTTGAATTAGAATAATGCTTCTACTGGGACTCACAGAACCTAACATGCTACCACTACTGTGGCATGTGCTATCGACTCCTATCTCTACTACAAACCTTATCAAATTCTCAGTGGACATGACCAAACTCTTGACTACTACAAAACATTGGTATTAATATATCTATCTCTATCAGCACCGACTGACATCTGACATAACACGACCACAATGATAGCAACATATTCCATGCATGCCTGCTTCAGTGAGTGAGTGAGTGAGTTTAGTTTTACGCCGCACTCAGCAATATTCCAGCTATATATGGCAGCGGTCTGTAAATAATGAAATCTGGACCAGACAATCCAGTGATCAACATCATGTGGATCGATCTACGTAATTAGGATACAATGACATGTGTCAGCCAAGTCAGCGAACCTGACCACCCGACCCCGTTAGTCGCCTCTAATGACAAGCTTGGGTAACTGAAGATCACCTCAGGCACCCCTACTTCAGCTACCAAACGGCAGTACGACATCTCTTACTATTGACAGATAGTGATTCATAAAACACATGCTTATAGATGAAAACTTACAACGGACAACGGATTTTATTGGTTTCATGTACTACTGCAATGAGAAGAAAATGAAACAATATCTCTCAGGTGATTTTGCCCTATGGTTCATTTTCAATTGAGCAGCTACATGTATATATAGCAAGAATGCAACTTGACTGACGCTAAGTCAGCACTTACAAAACAGTTTCACATAGCTTGTATTTCAAAATATGTTTTGAATTCAAATTTTAAAAGTTAAAAATTCACTTGGATAATAACACCTGTTGATGGTTGTCCCTGAGATGTTATTCTTGTAAATACATAAATTTGCTCTTTTCTGCACAAATTTACATTTCAAGCATGGCAGGTGGCATGTGGCTGGAAATTCATTTCTTACCCTGGTCACAATTACTCTGTCACAATTACTCTGTCACAGAGCACTTTTTACAAAGTCAAGAAGTAGTGACGATTAACAGACTAATCTATTTTAGTAAAAATGCAAGTTTTCATTATACGAAAATCAAATTGAGCACACTTTCTTCAACCACCACAAAGTTTTCAAACCACACCTACATACTAGATATTAGTCACCATTTCTACGACAAGACAAGTGTCTTGTTTAGCTCATCTGAATCGTTGTGTTCAACAGAAAGTGAGGTTGATGTATCTAAAGATGTACTCACCTTCTTTACGATAGTATTCCTATTCTACACTACAGCTGGTTGGAAATGAGCTTACACGATCAAAATGTGTACCACCCTTTTGGTAAAATAAAAATATTCTTGTAAAACGTGCGTGCTTTTAAAATAGCCAACTGACAGCCGGATGTCATGCCACAATAAAGGCATACTCCTAGCCCGTAACTGTAATATAGGTGGAACAACATACATGTTCGACACCTTTCTACAACGTAAATGTCTAAATTCAGCATAAACAACATTGTATATATTGGACCAATTTGTTACCTAAGTGGCCATTTGAGGTCGACAGTACGTCACGGTGACGTATCTGCGTTACCGGATGAAATGCCTACTGGTGACAGGGGCATGTTTAGAAGGTTGCAATATACATATATGCCCGGCCTCGAGGCAATAAAGCACATTAATATGGCTGTATTATGTCCCCTTCTTGATGGGGATACACGAAGTATTTATTTCTCACAGGAGGTGTCACTCAAATTAACATCATACTGTGTTAAGAAGAGTGTGGATTGTAATAAAATTATATCCTGTTTGTTTTAATATGGTAATAGCCTTGAATAATCAAGAAATATGGAGAAAAGAATGTTGACATGTCACCTTAACATTTCATAAAAATGTTTTTGCGCGTGATCCGTAAATATCTGTGTGAAATACACATAATGTGACTGTTCGGGGGGTGGGGTGTGTGTGTTTATATCTTTTTTGTTTTAAGGCCAGTGCTTTAAGTTAATGCATTACATTAGCACTACATATTGATGCCTTTGAACATTCAACATGTGTCCGCGTGTTCATTCCAGCAATTATTTAAGAAGAAAATGAAATATTGTAAAAGGAGTGTGTGTATTGTTTTGTTCAGACAGATATGTTTAAAAATACGAAATGTTTAAAACTGATTGAAAATATACATCAAATATGTCTGATGTTAAAGTATTTATTCACCATTCAATGGCGCAACATTGCATTATCTTCATGCTATAGCTCTGAGCAGTTATTCAGCATGACATTTATATACACCTTCAGGCTGGAGGAATATCAATTAAAACCATTTGAAGAAGTTCAGATCATCGTCTAATGAAACAAACCGCTAATTAAAAGGACATTTTTCAACAAACGTTCACACATCCTAACTCAAACCGAAGCTGTTTGAGGTTAGCTTTTTTTATATTTAAATTAAGTATTAATATATTAAGACAGTATAAATGGAAATCAAAAGTTCTGTTTTCAAGTCAAAACCATTGTGATGTAGGTAAGCAAAATTTCGATGATGGACCCGGATCAACCGGTATATGACCCAAAAGTCTACAATCAATTACAAAACAAATAAAGATGATCTTTTATCAAAATCAGAAATAGAAAAAACAACCAAGTGAAGATCTTAACCTAACTGCCGGCTAAAAGAAATTACACCCTTGGAAATTGGATTTGTCAGGGAAAATAAAAACAGAAAAAAAACTCAATCAAAACATTACCTAGCGGCAGTCGACATTACACTGCAAACGTACGCTCCAGATCTACCCGTATCAATACGTCACCACGAAATAACTAGATGGTGTTTCATTTAAGCCACCATTGTTTTATGCCTCTTTTCCCGGAAGTTCAGACATCTGTCTCCATCCTTAAAGACGTCTCCGAGTTTATACATTTCTTTCCAACTATCAAAGCATTCATTGTGTCATTGTGTCATGTAAACGGTTCAATCATGTGTCAGGTGGGGATCTCTAGATGTCACGCTTATACACACTGCTGATAAAAAATAGGAGGTGACGACTTAATGAGAACATTGACTTCTGCGATTTTAGATCAGAGTTGCTCAAGAAGCAGAAGTTCGTGACCTGTAATGTGAGTATCCGCAACGTATCTTTGTCCAAACATTAATTGGTGACAAAATAACCAAACAGAAGTTGTTTTGATATGCAATAGAAGGTTTAAAAACTGTTAAACAAGTATTTTTAAATTTTAAATATATTTATGCTTAGTATGCCAGCGATAACATATGTCGGTGGTCAATTTTCAGACAGTCTGCACTAATCACTTTTTCTGGACATTTGATAGGTAGATTGTGAACCTTCACCTTTAAGGAACTACTTTCACTAAAAGTTTTCGTATTTTTACACTGGAAATACAACTAAGTTAAAGAAAACAAACTGGAGAAGTTTGAATGTGTAATCATATTATGAAATGATAACGTACCTCAGCAAAAAATAAATATATTGCTTAGATAACCATGCATATGTTGCTATCATTCTTTTTAGTGAGACTGTTCAAGATGCCGAAAAGTGTGAAGAAGCGATACGTTTGGACTGTTTCCATTCAACTGCCATACACAAATTACAAAACAAGAAACTGAAACGTTATCACGTGCTAAAGAAAAGCACGTACTGATTTACGTTATTTGTTTGATGCCAACTTAGCAACAATCACCATTAATGCCCTCTAGAAATTTGTTCAGTAAAAGTCCTCAAATTATGAACATTAAGACAAAACTAAGATCGCAAGTTTCCTTTACTGCATGGTAGAAGCCTTGGTGCATGGCAGCTTCTAGGAGTCAATGGCAGGATTGGCAGCGTCGGACAGTTTGGGTGGTTGGTTGGTTTGTTGTTTAACGCCGCACTCAGCAATATTCCAGATATATGTAGGTATATAATCGAGTCTGGACCAGACAATCAAGTAATCAACAGCATGAGCATCGATCTACGCAATTGGGAGACGATGACATGTGTGAACCAAATCAGCGAGACTGACCACCCGATACCGTTAGTCGCATCTTACAACAAGCATGGGCTACTGAGGATTCCCCTGATCTTCGCGGGGTTTTAGCGTGGCTTCAATTGGACAAACTAAGGCTAATTAAACAGTGGTATATGTCCTGGTTCATAGGTCGACATTAACGCGCGATTAGGGTCACGTTAGACTATAAATCAGCATTCTCTGATTAGTTAAAGGGTTATAGTGGTATCAACACATTAGTATGGCCTTTCAGTATGCCTAAGACATATCGTTTTGTTCTTTATCTTGAAAGATAATAAAGAAATTCTCATCATAACGCCAAAACATTCGTGTCATGACATTGTATTGCCAGATTTACATACCGGTAACCATACGATGAGCCAACAGGCCCGAAATCTCGGTGTCATTTTCGATGCAAAAATGACACTTGAGTCTCATATAAATGCTATCTGTAGGAAATCCTATCTTCATATCCGCAACATTGCCTTGGTACGAAAGTACATGAACACAAGAACCGCCATGTCCTTGGTCCATGTCTGTGTGTCACATATGACTACTGTCACTCACACCTGCAAGGTTTGCCATCGTATCTGTTCAGGAAGTGACAAGTTGTACAAAACTCATCAGTCGCAACAAGAACAGCGAGACATGATCACATCACACCAATTCTCCAACATCTACACTGGCTACCAGTGCCACAGTGGATCAAAAACAAAGTTGTTCTGCTTGTCTTCAAGTGTCTCCACAATCAAGCCCCTCAGTATCTCTCCAGCATGATAACCAGATATCAACCTGACAGATCTCTTCGATCCTCTCACCAGTTTCTCCTTCAGCCACCTGCACTAAAAAACAGTCGCATCACCAGCCGTTATTTCTAAATTACCGGACCAAACTTGTGGAATCAACTCCCACAACACCTGAGATCTAACCACGACCTGGTCTCATTCAAATCACAGCTAAAGACCCATTACTTCCGTGAAGCACACAACAACTAACTTTCCATCAGAGTCTCAAGCGCTGCAGAGCAGTTTATTCCGGATAGCGCTATATAAGTTGTTTCCATAGATAGATAGATAAATAATTGAGTCTGGATCAGACAATCCAGTGATTAACAGCATGAGCATCGATCTGCGCAATGGGGAACCGATGACATGTGTCAACCAAGTCAGCGAGCCTGACCACCCGATCCCGTTAGTCGCCTCTTACGACAATCGCCTCTTACTGAAGATCAATATTCTAACCCGGATCTTCACGGGTAATAGACAGACAGACTGACAGACAGACAGATCGATAGATAGCCTCTTCTGTTGATGCCTTTTCAAATTACATCTAAAACGAACTCAACAAAATATTTCACGGGGACATAAACGTCGTGTATAATTTGTAAAAGTTGTTCGATTTGCTGGCTGCAGGGCTATCAAGTGCCATATATTGAAAGAGTGAGTTTAATGCTGCTTTAAATAGCATTTCAAAAATATTATAAAGTATGACGTGTCACCTTGTTGTTGGAGGAAAGCCGGAAGTAAAACCAAAACACAATCAGGGAATTCTGTACAGAGGCTCATTTGTTACTGAACCATCTATCTCAATAAAAGAGTATGCCACATGAAAGAATAAAATTCCTTTAAGTATCTAAAATGTTAGGGCTTCAAAGTTCACTTAAGTGAGTGAGCGAGTGACTTTAGTTTTACGCCGCACTCCGCAATATTCAAGAATTATGGCGGCGGTCTGTAAATAGTCGATTCTGGACCAGACAATCCAGTGATCAACAACATGAACATCGATCTACGCAATTGGGATACTTTGACGTCAACCAAGTCATATAGCCTGACCACCCAATCCCGTAACGCTTCTTACGACAAGCATGGGTTGCTGAAGATCAATTCTAACCTGGATCTTCACGGGTCGCAGTTTAGTGAACCTCGAGGGACCATGTCTGTTCATTTCAACCAGAGCTCGGTGCTTGATTCGTCATGACCCACACACGTACGAGTGAAGCATAACTGTCAGGTCGTTTTAGTCGAACTGTTCGCTATATCCGACTTTGTTATATTCAAAGTCGACTTATCTTTACATGCCTCAATATGCCTTTTGTCGGGTACTTTTCTGGACAACTTCGGGTTTAGAATGGTACTTTGGAAAGACAAATGCAGATATAAAGGAGTAATTAATCTTAAAAACAATGCATTAGAGATAAAGTTTAACCTATATCTGGAGAAACTTGAGGACCACCAACTCAAGGTTCATTTTAACGATAATACTTTTGTACACAAATTAGTCCAGAGCACTGGGCAGTGCCAAACTACTAATTCAATATTCAGAGAATGATCATTAAAATTTATGAGGTTGTCAGAGACGGGCAGCTTGTGAAAGATCGAGTGAATGAGTGAGTATTGATTTACGCCACTTTTGACAACATTACAGCAATATCACGGCGTTGGACACCAGAAAATGGTGTTGGACAC